CGGTCTGTGTGCTATAAGAACATCCCAGTACTATCAGGGAGGATGTTCCACAATTTTGATAGGGCAACAATAAAGAGATGGTGACAGTTTCAAGTTGGGAATGTGTGTCTTTGGGGCAACTTACAAGTGTTAATCTCATCCTCTGCCCTTGTTCTTCAAGATGGTCGAGGTCACAGGTTTGAAAGATTGTGTTAAAGTGCATCTTTATTTGAGTCACCCAGAGTGATTTTAGGAGTCCTTCAGTCACCAGCTCAGAGAGGGCATTTAGTCTGGATTGGATTTTGAATTTGCTCCTCCTCTAACCCATCTATTTTTTTAAAAATTAATTTGTGGGATGTGGGCGTCGCTGGGTGGTCAGCATTTATTACCTCTTCCTAATTGCCCTTGAGAAGGTGGTGCTTAGCAGCCTTTAACTGCTGCAGTCCATGTGCTGTAGGTCGACCCATGAGATGGATCATCCATGAGATGGATCATCCACAAGACACTTCAGGCTGAAGATTGCTGTGAAAGCCTCAGCCTTATCTTTTGCACTGATGTGCTAGGCTCTTCTATCATTGAGGATGAGGATATTTGTGGAGCCACCACCTCCAGCGAGTTGTTTAATTGTCCAGCACCATTCACAACTGGATGTGGCAAGACTGCAGAGCTTAGATCTGTTGGTTGTGGGATTGCTTAGCTCTGTCTGTCAATTACTGCTTATGCTGTTTGGCATGCAAGTAGTCCTGTTTGGTGGCTTCACCAAGTTGACACCTCATTTTCAGGTATGCCTGGTGCCACTCCTGGCATGCCCCCCTGCACTCTCTATTGAAGCAGGGTTCAATCCCCTGGCTTGATGGTAATGGTTGAGTGGGGGATATGCCATGCTGTGAAGTTATAGATTGTGCTGGAGTACACTTCTGCTGCCGTTGATGGCCCGTAGCACCTCATGGTAGGCTTGAATTGCTAGATCTGTTTGAAGTCTGTGCCATTTAGCACAGTGATAGTGTTACACAACACAATGGAGGTTATTCTCAATGTGAAACTGGAGCTTTGTCTCTGCAAGGACTGTGTGGTGGTCGTTCTTTTCGATACTATCATGGACAGCAGGTGGCAGATTGGTAAAGATGAGATCAGGTATGTTTTTCCCTTCTTGTAGGTTCCCTCACCACCTGCCGCATACCCAGTTTAGCAGCTACGTCCTTTAGAACCTGACCAGCTCAATCAGTAGTACTGCCAAGCTACTGCTGGTGGTGGACTTTGAAATCCCTCAGCCAGATACATTTTGTGCCCTTGCCATCCTCACTGCTTCCTCTAAGTGTTGTTCAACATGGAAGAGTACCGATTCATCAGCTGAGGGAGGATGGTATTTGGAAATCAGCAGGTTTCCGTGTCCATGTTTAACCTGAAGCTGTGACACGTCATGAGGTTTGGAGTCATGTTGAGGACTCCCAGGGCACCTCCTTCCTGATTGTATGCCACTGTACTGCCACCTCAACTGGTGGGCCAGGATGTGTCCAGGGATGGTGATGGTAAAGTCTGGGACATTGTAAGGTATGGTTCTGTGAGTATGACTGTGTTAGGCTGTTGTTTCTCCAGTCTGTGAGACAGCTCTTCTGAATTTTGACACTAGCCCCCAGGTGTTGGTAAGGAGGACTTTGCAGAGTCAACAGGGCTGTTTCTGCTGTTGTCTTTTCTGCTGCCAAGGTCAATGCCAGGTGATCCTTTCGGTTTCATTTCTTTGAGACTTTGTAGTGATTGGTACAACTGAATGGGTTGCTCGGCTATTTCAGAGGGCAATTAACAGTCAACTACATTGCTGTAGGTGAGGTTGTTGACTTGCTTGCCGAGCTGGCTTGTTCTTGTTCAGATGTTTTGTCACCACGCTAGGTGACATCAGTGGAGCCTCCGATGAAGCGGTGTTTATCTACTCCACTTGGAATTTACACTGCTTCATTGGAGGCTCCTAGCATGGCGATGAAACGTCTGAATGAGAACAAGTCAGCAAGTCAACAAGTCAACATCCTCATCCACAAACTGAGCTGCAGATCTTTGTCAAAACTTTGAACATTTCTGTAGGTCCGGAGTCACATGTAGGCCAGACCAGGATGGCAGATTTCCTTCCCTGAAGGATATTAGTGAACCAGATGGGGTCTTCTGACAATCAACAATGATTTCATGGTCATCAGTAGATTCTTAACTCCAGATTTATTTATTTATTGAATTCAAATTCCACTATCTGCCATGGTGGGATTTGAACCAGGGTCCCAGGAACATTAGCTGAGTTTATGGATTAATATTCATCAATAATACCACTAGGACGTTGCCTCTTGCCCAGTCTCCAGAAATCAGCTCATTGGACCTTCTCTGCTCTGTCTTAAGGTAATTACTGCAGTCTTTTAAAATACAAATTTGAGGTAATTGGTTAGTCAGCTTACAACTGAGGAGTAATGTTGGCTCCTCCAGAACACCCAGGGAATCTCTTCTTCTGACGCAGCAGATTGGGCAGGCAGCTCTCTTGAAGGAAGACACCTCTGACAATGCAGCACTCAGTCACTATGCTTTTTAAATATCTTCTGAAGAGACAATTGCCACATTCAGCAAAGGATTTGTAACATGTATTGCATGCTAGACCTGCTACTCTAATGAGCTGCTTAGTACTCGTACTGTGTCAGGTCTCAGCACAGGAAATATTCATCAACATGTCAATTTCATCTACTTCTGCCTGGTTGTAAATTAATCTTCTCAGCATCAGTGCAAGAGCTTAACTGTCATTCATGACGAAGTACGAACCCTGTAGCTCTCCACTTACACCAGCCCAAGGGAACATGCTCTTCACCTACAAGGCCTTCTCAGTATTTCTCTGGAATGATGGAAGGAGCTGAGTTTGAGGTCTCGGTGGATGTGGACTTTGCAGTAGTATAAAGTGGTACATGTGATCTTTTTCTGTTGGTTTGATGAATCTAATTTGCACAAAAATAATTTATTTTGTTTCCAGCAGAATGGCAGAAAGAGGGTATTTGATATCTTTTGTTTTAAAATTTATTCTCTGGGTGGGTGTCACTGACAAGTTTGACATCCATTGTCCATCGCTTGTTGTACTTGGTTTGATACAACTGGAACCTCTTGCTTGACCACTTCATAGGGCAGTTAAGAGTTGGCCATATTGCTCTGCTCTGGAACTGGATTTATATCGAAACCAAACAGGGTAAGGATGGCAGACTTGTGGAGGTAGAATCAATAATGGCTTTCAAGGGTGTATTTAATAAATATAGGGAGAGAAAGTTTGTGAGAAAAGGTGGGGCAGAGAACCAGCTGAGTTGTGGAGAGCCTACACAGACACAGGTGTTTTAACCATCTTTTGATCCATTTTTCCATCAAGATCAGTAACTTCTATCTCTGAAATATCACTCATCTTTGCCCTGCCTCAATTTATCCACTGAAACCATCATCCATTCTTGTTACACTCATTTCAAGTCTTCCAATGCACTCTTGATCAGTCTATATCCTTCCAAAATCATTAAACTTAGTACTTCTAAAGTTCTGTCCATATCCAAACTTACGCCATCCTACTCACCCAGCACCTGAACCTTACCAACACACACAGACTCTTGATCATTAAATGCCTCAAGTTTAAAATCCCCATCTTGTACAGGCACAGTTGTCTCCAGGTGAGTGGAAAGTATACTTGAAGATTGGATTGTAGTGATTGAGTTTCATGTTCAATTAGTGTCCTTATGTATGAAAACAAGTGAATTGTAAAACAGATTCAAGTGAACAAAATATTTGTTTGGTTACTTCATGTTTCAGATGGTTCAATCTGTGGTTGAAAAAAATTAAAAGTGCAGGGAGAGGTTTAGATAATCAACAGCACTTGTGTAGGATGCCTGAGATGTTATCGTCCCGGTGATGAAATTGCAACATAACTTTGGTTACTGGTTTGTTGTTGGATGGTCATTGTCAGCATAGTACAGTATGTCAACATTGCAGAGGCTTCTCCAGGTCTTTAATTTTCTCTCAGGAATTGTCTTATCTTTATTCAGCTCAATTGTCAATGTCTTTGGAACATTAAAGTAGGGTGTTTCAAATTGAGTGTATCTGATAAAAAGGGCCTTGAGCTGCAGGGATTGTTTGTTTTACTGCTCATGCACAGTAACAAATTACTCAGACACTATGTATAATTAATTTTTTTCTGCATTATTTTTATTTGCTTTTTCTGCCAGTTTAAAAGTGAGATCCAGTGTTCTGAACACTCAAGAAACAGTTTACTAGGCCAATGCTGACGTGTCATTTGAGTGCAGTGTTCCACCTTCCTCCCAAAGCCTCACCAACAACAGCTTGGTTTAAATCACTGCAACCAAAGCTGGGACAAGATCTAGGAAAATATAGCAGCTGTTGGAGATATGGACTTTAAGAAGGAGCAGTCACAGCTGTAAGGAGAGGCAGGCCTACAATTCAGCTGTGTACACATTAAAATGCCAATAAACTGAAACAAACTGAATTCCTGTTCGTTGTGACTGGATGTACCCGTTTGCTTACTGTAAAATACTTCAGGACCTGCATCACTGCTTCCAATATCTTGAGTGATTTAGGTTTAGAAACATTTGTAGAACTGTCTTACTATTAGTGCACACCTTCCTGCTTTCTGAAAGATTGTTTTCAATGGAACAAAACAGAGAAAATTTTCTCTGTTAAAGAGCTGCACCACCATTGCCAATTACAATGGTAGATCATAACATTTCTCCAAAACATTTGCCCTGCAGTTTCCAAAGACTCAGCCCTTGACTTTGATTAATGTGCTTTTCAAGCAGCCTCCCACTGACTGGATGCAGTGGCAATGTATTAGAAATATACTTAATTCTTCTTTATAAAGTGGGAGACTTCTGAAAACTCTTGATTACTTGATGTGGAGGTAAAGAGAGACATTGTAAGAACATTCTTCAAGAGTCACTTCTCCTCTGTCAAATGTCTATCAGTAACAAGAATGGGTCCTGTAACAATTCTTCATTCTCCTAAATCTCCAGCGCATTACAGACATGACCAGTTGGATGAGTTTATCAAAAATATCAACACCCATCTACAGCCTCTCTTCATGGAAATCAGGAAAGGGATGAGTGAGGATGATGGACAACAATATTACGCTCTGGTGAGAGGGAAATGCCATGTCTTTGTGGCTTTCACTTTGGTTGTTTGGGGGAAGTTAAGGCAGTTATCTTGTGGTGACGTAACACATGCCCACTACATGCTGTGAGAAAAAAATACACTTGTTTCATAGATGCAGTGAGCGTTCTACAAAATTAAGGTCTGTGAACTAACCTAGAAATGCACTGACATCTTCAAATCTTTCTGTCACACCTGGAAAGGAACTGAGATGAGCAAGGACGCTCAGCCATATATACTCCTTTTATTACTCTCTACTCCCTAGTGCTAACTCAGAATTCCTGAATTCAGCCATAGGTGCTGTAGAAATTTTGCCTTTCTTTTTCCTGTAGAATGAGTTCCATGTTGGTCAGTGCTGTTTTTCTGCCAAACTCAATCTCCGATTTTATGTCCTTTATCTTGTTATTTTTGTGTTTGACCCCTGACCCAAAGTTTATAAATTGAAACACATCTTCAATTTGCCTTTGGCTGAACTTCACAAACCTGCATAACATTCAGTACTCTGTCTTTACCCCTTTGTCAGTGTGTGGGTATAAGTACCACCAGCAGCAGCAGGAAACTATTATAGGTACCCTTGGGAGTGAGGGAGTCATATCTCTTTACAATTAGCAACGTCAGTCTCTGTTCAGGACTCAAGTTGTCTTGAATGTGCTTCCTTTCTTTATAGTGGGTCCCTGCATATCCTGTGTCACTGATTAATTGATTAAAACTGAGTTATTTTGGGGAAAAGGGGGTTGAAATTGAAGGGAACTCAGCTTCTGCTAACTAAATTAGAGGAATAACATCGGCAGCACCTGTAGAAATATCTCTGCTCAAGAATTTCATAATTTTGCTATGGAGAGGGGCAAGAATCTGGAGAAGCCATTTATTTTGAAAATGGATGGTTTATATTAACACAAGATATTCTTCTTCAGATAGGTGCTCAATGCATCTGCGTTTGTAATGTGTAATGTGCTATTAATCTCCCTTTCGCACTGAGTCCAGATTAACCTTGCGGAGACAGAGATCACCAGGATGGCATTTGATTACACAGAAACTGAGTTGGAACTGTTCAAGAAAACTGTGAGTTTGACATACTTTTCAATTTCAGAGTACAAATGCAGAGCTTGTCTTTTGAAATTTTACGGGCATGGGTGAAGTTTAAAATGTTTTCTTGTGCAATCTATTTAATTAACTGTGATCGTAATAATGTGTCGGTTATTAAGCCCACTACTCCAAGACAGAGGATTAATATAAATGTTCAATTTGTCATCAAAATTGACAATTGTTTCCCTTTTGTATTGCTACCCAGAAGAAAATGAACTTGCATCTGACTTCTTGAAATAGCGCATAATAAAACATTTTATCATAAAACTTAATTTTGAAAACAAGTAGAAAAACTGATTAACATCCAAGTTATAATCCAAAATTGGATAGTGGTTGAGATTCAATTTATTAGGGTTTATAAGGCATTCCATATAGAGGTGTGGAAATTTTCGGGTTTGAGTATTTCGAAAAAGATAAGGATAGAGGTACAAAAACAGAAGTTGCTGGAAAAGCTCAACAGGTCTGGCAGAACTATGAAGAAAACAAATCAGAGTTAATGTTTTCCTTGGTTCTGGGGAAGGGTCACTGGATCCGAAACGTTAACTGTGACGTTAACTCGCAATTTCTGTTTTTGTTCCTGATTTACAACATCCGCCGTTCTTTTGGTTTTTATTTCAGGGTAGAGGTAATCTTGCAATTAGCTGCTGCTCTGAAGTTTTTTTTTCATCCGTCCAGATTCCCTAGGCTCGTGAAAGCAAACCCTAGCAGAAAAGGTTGCTAGGTGATCATCAACAGAGACACCCCCCCACCCCCCCATATCGTCTCTTCCAAAATCACATTTTCCCGCAATGAACCCCACCTCCTAACTCCTTAAAAGTTTTGCTCAGCCAGTTTCCAAAGTAATTTGACTTTTAGTAATTGGATTATAGCCCACATTAAACTGATGTCTTTTTTAAGAAACTGTATGTGTTTCATTTAAACCCTTGCTGATAACTCTTTTTAATCCAGAAAGTGTCCGAACAGTTCAATATTTTTTCCTTCCTTCATATAATCCGTCACTATAGATGTTTTCCCAACAGAGTGAGCATCTTTAAATCTAGAGCAGATTTCTCAATCATTTGGTTTGTGGTGAATTGTAGAAGAAGCAATGTTATGAATCTCAGTTGCATAAGAATTTAGCATTGAACTCTTTCAGCTGTTCTTCTGTTCTGGATACTTGACCTTTTCAGAACCTCCCACTTGGATATCATGCACTGTTATGACAGTTTGTGTGCAAGTTACTGGAACTCTGCACATGGGCTGTAATTTCTGCTGTAACTGGTAAAACTCGCTGACCTTGTTAAAATAAATGGAACTGTTCATTTAGTGTGTATTTTGGACAAGTTAACAGCATCTAAAGAAGATATTTAATATAACAACTCGCTTTTTTATTGAAAATTTTCATAAATCAGGATTGACTTTTTTTTGAAGTAATGTATTGGTAATGTACCATAGTGCTGGCCGTTCAGAGTCACACTGAGGCTCTTCTCTTAAGCCAGTGTATCTGAATCTAAATAAACTCCTTTAATCATCTTGGTGCTGGTGAGACAAATGCTGCATATTGACAATCAGCTAGTCACTGCACTGGAGCGATATCCGTGGTGGCATTGCTGATTTGGAATTTCACATTGCTGCTTGTTTTGGTTGATGGGAGAAGAATGTGTGTCTGATCCCTTGTACACTTGGCTCCTTTCAAAGTCTGAGATTGACACGGGTGTTGCACATCTGATCTCTGTACAATGAATGTTGGATGTAGTGTTGGTAAAGGGCTGAAAAATATCAATAAGAAAGCCACGTCGCAAACTGAAGATTGGTTACATTTAGCTGATTGATTGGAAGCAGTTTCACATCATTCAAGGTCGTATTTAAAACCCTTTATTTTCAGATGGACCTAGTTTTAGAGTCAGAAAATGGCATGGTCTCTTCTACAGACATCCTAAATCTGGCAGATCAACTACAACCCAAAAAAATGAAGAAGAAAGAAGTGGAACAAGTGCTGCAGCGATTTGTGCAGGAAAAGTGGCTCTGTGAGGCAGGTGACATTGAAAGCTGTGTCATCTAATCAAAGATGCACCTTGCGTGTGTGGATTTTTTTTTGTGCTGAATAATCCATTGAGTTAACTGTTTGCTTTTTCCTTATTAGAATGATGGTGAGTACATTCTGAGCACTCGTTGCATTATGGAACTGGAACAATACATTCGCAACATGTACCAGGACCTTGTGAAGGAGTGCAACATCTGTCACAACATCACTATTCAGGTATTGTTACCTCCCCTACTCATTTTCTGGCAGAAATGGTGATTGTGGGTGAGGGAGAGGTGGTCTGTGCTGATGCTTTGAGCCTACCATGACAGACCTTGTCAAAAGCCTTACTAAAATCCATGTGGACAACATCCACTGCTCTACCCTCATTGATCACCTTTGCCACCTCCTTTAAAAATTCAGTCGTCAGTAAGACATGACCTGCCCTGCACAAAGCCATGCTGACTGTCCCTAATTAGGCCATGCTTTTCCAAATGCGCAGAAATCCTATCCCTAAGAATTCTGCCCAATAGCTTCCCAAACACAGATGCGAGACTCACTAGTCTATAGTTTCCTGGATTGTCCCTATTTTCCTTCTTGAACAGATGAACGACACTAGCTACTTGCCAGTCCTCTGGGACCTCTCCAGTGGCTAATGAGGATACAAAGATCTTGGTAAGGCCCCGGCAATCTCCTCTACTGTTGGGCCCTGGGGACTTATCCACCTTAATGCTCTTCAAAAGACCCAACATCAGTTTTTTCTTGATCTCAAAATGTGCTCCACACAAATCTTACTATCCCCCATACCCTTCTCCTGGGTGAATACTGATGCAAAATACTCATTTAGAATCTCACCCATATCATCTACCTCCAAGCACAAGTTCCCTCTATCCTTGAGTGGCCCTTCCTTCTCCGTAGTTATCCCCTTGTTTTTGATGTTTATACAGAATGCCTTGGGATTTTCTTTAACCCTACTTGCCAAGGTCATTTCATGGCCCTTTCTTGCTCTTCTAATTCCCTGCCTTTTTTTTATATTCCTCAAAGGCCCTGTCTGATTTTAGCTTCCTAAACCTCACATATGCTTCTTTTTTCCTTTTGACTAAATTCACAATCTCCATCCTTATCCAAGGGTCCTTTACCTTGCCATCTTTGTCCTTTCTCCTTACTGGAATATGATGGTCTTGAACTCTGACCAGCAGGTCTTTAAATAATTTCCACATGTCAAATGTGGACGCCTGATAACAGCTCCTCCCAATTAACACTCCCACCTCCTGCCTAATACTGATGTAATTTGCCCTTTCCCACAAGGTCCTGATTTATCCTTGTTTGTTACTATCTTAAGAAGTTGTCATCACTGTTCCCAGAATGCTCACCCACTGAAAGGTCAGTCACCTGGCCAGGCTCATTAGCCAGTACAAGATCCAGAATGGCCCCTCCTCTAGTTGAACTATCCACATACTGTTCTAAGAAACCCTCTTGGATGCAGTTAACAAAATCTTCCCTGTGTAAGCTTCTTGCTCTAAGGGAGTCCCAGTCAACATTGGGGAAGTTAAAGTCACCCACTATGACAACTATTTTTATTGCATCTTTCCATAATCTGCCTACATATTTGTTCCTCAATGTCTCGGTAGCTGTTGGGTGGCCTGTACTATTGTCCTATCAGACTGCACTGATCGTATTTTTGAGTTCTACCCATATTGCCTCAGTGCATGAGCCCTCCAGTATATCCTCTTAGTGCAAATGTAACATTCTCCCTGATAGTAATGCAACTCCTCCATCTCTTTTACCTTCCTATCTTGTCTAAAAGAATGAAAATGTGGAACGTTGAGCAGCCAGTCCTTATCCCCCTCTCAACCTAATGTTTTTAATGAAGTGTTCTAAAACGCTTCCAATATTTTGCTTGGGAACCCTGCAGCCCAAGGGTATCAATGTGGACTTCACAAGCTTCAAAATCTCCCTTTCCCCGACCGCATCCCAAAACCAGCCCAGCTAGTCCCTGCCTGCCTAACCATTCCTCCCGCCTCAAGCCCCACCCCCATCTCCTACCCACTAACCTCATCCCTCCCCCTTCACCTGTCCATCCTCCCTGGACTATCCCCTCCCTAACTCCCCACCTACAATCACCTTCACTGGCTCCAACCCCACCTCTGTGACCTGTCTGTCTCCTCTCCACCTATCTTCTCTTTTATCCATCTTCTATCCGTCTCCCCCTCTCTCCCTATTTATTTCAGAATCCCCTTCCCCTCCCCCATTTCTGAAGAACGGTCTTGACCTGAAATGTCAGCTTTCCTGCTCCTCTGATGCTGCTTGGCCTGCTGTGTTCATCCAGCTCTACACCATGTTATTTCAGATTCTCCAGCATCGGCAGTTCCTACTATCTCTCTCCAAATTTATATACATCTGTTGCTCTATAAATATAAATCTTCAATGATGTGCTGAATATTACTATTCTGCTTTATTGTAGTTTTGTTTCTGCTGATGTTTGGATTCGCCTTAAAGAATCAAAATAGGTCATGTTAGAAAATTGTTCGGGAAACAGATGTAGGGACAGTATACTCGCACTATCCATTGTGGGCTTTTATTCTGTGTTTCAACTATGCCAGCTGTTGGATTACATCTACTTTTAAATTTATGTTTTGCTTCCAGGGCCAAACATGTGAGGTTTGTGGAGCCAAAATTCATTTCCCCTGTGCTGCAAAATACTTCCGAGGTCGGGATGAACCATGCTGTCCAAACTGTAGGCGGTTTTGGCCTCATGAAATCCCGGGTAATGTGTTTAATTGGCATTTTTATTATATAATTTACTTCATCCTGATAACAGCCCACATCTAATCTATTCATAAATACAATATAGTTAGTTTGATGCTGCCTCTTGCTTTAACCTTTCATTTCTGTTTCCAAACATCTGTATTGAGTGGGACAATATTTACGTAAAGCAGATATTAAAAGTTAGGCAGGGTGCAGAATCATGTAATCCTTGGAACTCAACACACTGAAAGCTACAGTTTATTCAAGGACTAGATTTGTATAAATTAACAGAACCACTTGTTTCAGTTCTGCACTAGACTATTGTCAGGAATCCAGGGTAAACATAATGCGATTCTAGGCTTTTGCTGGCAGTACTGTAAAATTTTAGTTCAATGTAAACATGGTTCAAATTCTTTCAAGCCAGTAACTGATAATACTTCTAAGAACTACTCCTCCCACTCACCCCTCACAATAAGCCAAGGAGTTTGTGTTGGCCTCTACCACAGTGATGGAAACATTAATCAGTTGCCTCTTCAGCATCCCTTGTTCCACTAAACCATTTGGTCAAACTTCCTGTAAAGTTTCTGCTGCCCTACATTATTTCTTTTAGTTTCTTACTTATCTGTACACATAGTCTACTTGAGTGTGACACCCATAAACCCTGGTCTCCTTCATAGCTGATAGTTAACAGTTGTCTCCAGTTTTCATCCCTTTCTTTAAATCTTCTATTCATATAAAATGTGCTAAAGAAAAATGACTCCACTGCCATATTTCCAATTTCCCTTTCAAGTCCCTTGAATGTACTGTTTTTGCCTGCCAAATTTATACCATTATCTCCTGAGCTCAGTGTTTGAATCCCTCCACTCCAATTTCCACCATGCCACAATATTGAAACAGTTTCTATCAATTTATAAATGAATCCTCTGCAACTGTGACAGAAATTAGCTTTACCCCCTTGTTGTTCTTGACTTGTCTGCGACCTTTTGACACAGGCATTACAACTCTTAGAAAGAAGTTAGAAAGTATATATACAAATTTCAGGGCTGCTCATTTAATCTTGGTTCTTCCCTTTATCCAGACGTCAGCAGGTCTGAACAATCCATGCCACCACCTTCCTCCACACCAAAGATGCGACGCCGATATCAGGAATGAGGCAGTAAGAGAAAAAGAAGCAAAGTGAAATGTCATATCGGCAGAGCTGAGATTGAGAAAGAAGATTGTGTTGAGATGAAATACACTTTAAACTGGTGTAAAAGGATGACACTACTGATTTTTTTTCTACCTTTTACTTTAACTGCACATTGCTTTAAAATACAAGATACATCTTGTTCCCATTACTTTTTGCTGTACAGCTACTGATTAGACCACTGCAGCACTGTACCACTTAACAATTTGCATACAGTGTGTGCTAAACTGCGACATGAGATTACATGGTGAAAGATGAGGTAACAGGTGACTCTTGGAAGTTACCATTGTGGTCCACCTTAGAGAGTGATTAGCATAAGAAATCAAGTTTCCATCAAGGATACTATGCAATGGAAAAAGGAATAATTATTTGCTAGTAAATAAACTAATTCCTTTTAAACCAGTGTTTTACCCTCCTTGAAAGGCCTTTAACTTCAGATACCTCATCCTACTGAGACAGGAAGACACTTCAGGCTGTGTAAAGTGCTAATACCAATAAATACAAGAACCACTGTAACTTGCAGCAGGAATTTGGCTTAAGGGTTAAACAGAATTAAAGCTCTTCAGAGACAACAGTGTGTTGACCAAGATACAGTGATGGAATAGTCTTGAACTTGACTTCGACCAACACGTTCAAAGTACATGCAGGATATAATGACAGACAGAGCGTAATGGATTATTCTCAGTTCAGGGGTTAGAACTGCAAAAATGATAATTCCTAAATTGTCTGAGTCATATGGCAGTTGGTGAAATGATCAACATTAGGAGATTAAATACCTGCATGAAAGGGGGATTTTGCTTACAGGCATTGATATCACAGAAACAAGTTCTATTACCCAGTGCTCCACTTAAACTATTTTAACATATTAGACAGAATCTTTAATAAAGGTGAGTCGGGATGGGGAATGTGAGGTTGGAAGTTTTCCAGGTAATAAACATCAACATTTTCCTTGCTGCTTTTGCATTTGAAAGCACGGTGTTTTTAAGCTAAGAGCAAAAAAACAGAATAGGCAAGGAAACCTTATCATAAACTTTCATGAAGTATGACCCAGCAATAGTGATGTAAGGGGATAAATTCCTACAACTCCCTCTCTTCGCAGCACTGTGCATGTGCTTAGCAGTTCATAGAGGAAGCTCATGGCCACATTAGAGGGTAACTAAGATTGGGCGATAGATGCCGGTATTATCAGTGATGCTCTCACTCCATGAATTTAACAAAAAGGGAAACTGTACAGTCAAGAAAAAGGATAGCATGTAACAACAAAATAATATTAAACCAACAATATTGGGTGAAACAAACGTTTAGGGAGGAGAACTTAAGAAATATGCATTTCAGAAAATAGTACTAATTGTCTCTTATTCAGCTGGACCAGATGATCTGCAGTTAAAACCTCTGAATATTCAATGTATTTGATTTTATCTTCTCCAAAGTTCCTCATACCATTATAGTTTACAAAGTAGCAAATATGATACTGCTACATGAGACAAAACATGAAATGAAGGCCTGTTAGCCTAATGATGGATTCAAGCATTTTGCTGCTATTAGGGATGTGGTAATAGGGTGTTTAACAAAAACTTCAAGACTAAGCAAAGTCAACACATTCATAAAGGATAAGCAATGACAAATCTGTTATGAGCTGTGAGGCTGGTTGGCTGAGTGGGCAAGAACATGAAGGGTAGAATGCAGTGAAGTGTGAAGATTTTTTTTTTGAATAATGAGTGAATGCAAACATTTCCCAGTCTAAGGGACCTGGGTGTCCTTGTACATGAATCATAAAATTAACATGTGGTTACAGCAAGTAATTAGAAAGATAAATGGCATGTCAAATTTTGTTAAAGTCTTGGACAATAAGAGCAATTCTACCAAAATTAAGCAGGCAGTTTTTCAGCATGTTTATGAAATAGCGAGTGCAGTTTTGTACTCCTTAAGTAAGGAAAAACTTGTCAGAACTTGTGCTAGAGGAGTGCGGAATGTGTTCCGGGCAGGGTTCCCAGGTGCTCTAGGACATCTCTGCAGTCATTCCTCAGGATATAGAGTCCCAGGCCTGACCATCTTCAGCTGCTTCATCAATGACCTTCGCTCCATTATAAGGTCAGAAGTGGGGATGTATACTAATGAATGGTGCTGAATTTGGTAAGAATCAGAACTCTTCAGATACTGAAGCAGTCCGGTGTTCAAATCATAACAAGATCTGGACAGTATACATGCTAGGGCTGATAAGTGGCAATTAATATTCACATCACACAAAAGCCAAGCACTGACCATCTCCAATAAGGAATCATCTAACCACTGCCTCATGTCATTTTACGGTATTACCAACACTGACTGAATCCTCCACTATTAATAGCCTGGGGGTTACCATTGACCAGAAACTGAACTGAACTTGCCATATAAATACAGTGGCTACAAGAGCAAGTCAGAGGCTAGGAATACCACAGCAAGTAACTCATCATCTGACTCCCCAAATCTGCAAGGCACAGGTCAGGAGTGTGACGGAATACTCCCCACTTGCCTGGATGGGTGTACTAAAGAAGTTTGACATTATTCAGGATAAACCAGTCTGCTTGATTGGCACCACATCCACAAGCATCCACTCCTTGCACCACCAACGATTAGTAGAAGCAGCGTGTACGATCTGCAAAATGCACTGCAGAAATTATGAAAGATCCTTAGACAGTACCTTCCAAACCCACAACCACTCCATCTTAAAATGACAAGTGCAGCAGGTAAATGGGACCACCACCACCTGCAAGCTCCCCTTCAAACCACTCACCATCACCACTTGGAAATATATCATGTTCCTTCACCGTCATTGGGTCAAGATCCTGGAATTCCCTCCTTAAGGGCATGGTGGGTCAACCTGCAGCGGTTTAAGGCAGCAGCTCACCACCACCTTCTCAAGGGCAACTAGAGAATGGGCATAAAATGTTGGCCAGCCAGCGATGCCCACATCCCATTAGTGAATAAGACAAAAAAACCCCAAAGAACTGGGGATGCTGTCAATCAGAAAAAAATTGTTCAATGAGGACTCTTAAGTAGATGAGGCTTACATTCCCTGTTAGAAGAATGAAAGGTAATCAAATTAAATCATAAAATTCTTAAGGGCTTCGTAGACTGTAATGATGTTCCCTGGCTGAAGAAGTTTAGAACATCGGGGCTTAGTGCCATACTCACTTGTTCTGATACAGAGGCCATTTTTCATGCCACATTGTGAACTCAACGTTATTATAATATGGAGTTTCCTCCTTAAAGCCAAGTTGATGGTCTAACTCCAAAGCTAAGAAATCTTTTTATTAATAGCTTCCATCTTACAGAGGAGGTTTCAATTAATCCAGATCTAACAAGTTACCCTGGAAACTCTGCTCATGTTTCACAACTGTGACAAAGTGTACCACATCAACTGAGAAAAATCAACAATATTCTAAATTCTAATAAAACCATCCACAATGTCTCCTGTTACCTTCAATAATTTCTGTGTGTACACATCCAAGTTTCTGTTCTAGTGCCTCTTTAAAACTATTTCCATTTTGTTTGTACTGCCTCTTTTTTTAAGCTGACGAAATGCATCTACCCAGTTTATTCAAAGTTAAAAACACCTCATTATTTACTACGATCCTAATTTGAGTTAGCTACAGTCCTAAATGGAAACCTCAGCCGTGCAAGAATTGAACCCTCACTGCTGGCATCACTCTGCATTGCAAACCTGCCATCCAACCAACTGAGCTAACCAACCACAGTCCTGTATATTTGCAGCAAGACATTCCTGCTCCTGTACTCAAATCTACTTGCTGCAAAGGCCAACATACTATTTTGGCTTCTTCAGTGCCTGCTGCATCTGCATGCTTACCTTCACTGACTGGTGTATGAGGACATCCAGGTCTCACAAATTTATAGCTATTCAGAGAATAATCTCCCTTCCTGATTTTGCCACCAGAGTGGATAACCTCACATTTATCCACATTATATTGCACTTGCCACTTGTTTGCATACTGACTCAGCTTGTCCAAATCAAGTGAAGCATTTCCACATCCTCCTTACAGCTTGCCATCACATCCATTTTCTGTCATCTGCAAATTTGGAGATATTACTTGTAGCTCCCTCATCTAAATCATTAATATATACTGTGAATAGCTGGGTTCTACTAACGATCCCTGCAGTACCCCAATCGTTGCTGCCTGCCATGTGGAAAGAGATCTGTTTATTCCTACACTTTGTTTCCTGTCAGCCAATTGATTTTCTATCTCAATACACTACCCCAATTCCATGCACTTTAATTTTACACATTAATCTGTTACGTGGGACTTCTTTTTAAAAAGCCTGAAAATACAAAAACTACATCCACTAGTACCCCCTCACTAATTCTACTAGTTACATCCTTGAAGAATTCCAGATTAGTCAAGCATGATTTTCCTTTGTAAATCCATTGCATATGCTATCCGATCCTGCAGCTGTTTGCCAAGTGCTCTGCTATAAAATCTTTTATAATGGACTATAGCATTTTTCCCACTACTGACATCGTGTTTGCCCTGCTATACGAAGGATGTTTTTAAACCAGAAAGGGTACAAAATGGTTTACACAGATGTTACTGAGACTGAAAGTTTTGAATTGAAAGGAGAGGCTAGATAGTTTGGGACTTTATTCTTTGGAGCAGAGAAGGCTGAGGGGTGACCTTATAGGAGGTTTATAAAATCATGAGCGGCATAAGATAAGGTGAAGAACCAAGGTCTTTTCCCGAGGGTAGCAGAGTCCAAAACTAGAGGGCATAGGTTAAAGTGAAAGGGGAAAGGTTTGAACGCAGGCAAATGGGACTAGTACAGTTTAGGAACTCTAGTTAGCACGGACAAGTTGGACCAAAGAGCTTGTTTCCATGCTGAATGACTCTGTGACTCTAGGTGTGTTGTTTCTTTTCCATTTTACTTTTGTGTCAGACAGGAATGGACAATTGCTGCTCTTTGAATATTTACCATTGCCTTTCTAATGCCATTCCTTCAAGTAACATTCTGCAATCCATCATATCCTTATACCATTTTAACTTCCTGTATTTAGATTCACGATCCTAGTCTCAGAATTAACTATGTCACTCTCCACCTTGATGAAAAATTCCATCATAGTCATTTGTCCCCAAGTGGCCTTGCACAACTTTTTTAATTCACTCATGGGATGTGGGCTTCACTGGTTGGCAATCATTTATTGCTGATCTTAGTTGCCCTTGCAAAGGTGGTGGCAAGCTGCCTTGAAGTGCTGCTGTCCACATACTGTGGGTTGACCCACAATACACTTAGAAAGGCAGTTCCAGGATTTTGACCCAGTGACACTAAAGGAATGGCAGCATATGTTCAAGTCAGGATGGTGAGTGGCTTGGAGGAGAACTTTGAGGGTGGGGATGTTCTCATGTAGCTGCTGCCTTTGCTCTTCTACATGTAAGTGGTCGAGGGTTTGGAAGGTGCTGTCCAAGGATCTTTGGTGGATTTCTGCAGCGCTTGTAAATATTATGCACTGCAGGTCCCGAGTGTCAGTACTGGAGGGAGTGGATGTAGTGCTAATGAAGCCATCTGCTTTGTCCTGGATGGTGTCAAACTTCTTGAGAGTTGTTGGAGCTGCACCCATCCAGGCAGGTGGGTAGTATTCTGTCACCGTCCTGACTTGTGCCTTGGAGAAGATGGGCAGACTTTGGGGAGTCACTGCAATATTCCCAATCTCTGACCTACTCTTGCAGCCAGTGTGTATAGAATAGAAGCCCTACAGTGTAGAAGCAGGCCATTCGACCCAACAAGTCCACACTGACCCTCTGAACAGCATCCTGCACAGACCCAACCCCCATCCCATCCTCATACCTTGTATTTCCCATTGCTAATCCACCTAACTTGCACATCTTTAGACTGTGGTAGGAAACCCACACAGACACTGGGAGAATGTGCAAACTCCAGGCTACTTTTGGAGGACTGCATTCAATTCTGGTCTCCCTGTTACAGGAAGGATGTTGTTAAATTTGAAAGGGTTCAGAAAAAAATTTACAAGAATGTTCCTAGGGTTGGAAGGTTTGAGCTATAGGGAGACGCTGAAATAGACTGGGGCTATTTTCCCCCGGAGTGTTGGAGGCTAGAGGGATGACCTTGTAGAAGTTTAAGGTCATGAACGGTATGAATAGGGTAAATAGCCAGAGGTCTTTTTCCTAGGATAGAAGTCCAAAACTAGAGGGCATAGGTATAAGGCGAGAGGGGAAAGATTTGAAAGGGATCTAATGGGCAACTTTTTCATGCAGAGGGTGGTGCGTCTATGGAATGAACTGCCAGAGGTGGTGGTGTGGGCTGGTATAATTACATCATTTAAAAGGCATTTGGATGAGTACATGAATAAGAAGGGTTCAGAGGGATATGTACCAATGCTGGCATATGGGACTAGATTAATTTAGGATAACTGGTTGGCATGGATGAGTTGAACTGAAGGGTCTATTTCTGTGCCTTACAACTCTATGTAGGGGAGCAGCAGGTTCTGGAGTACAAGTCTTCAGTACATTGCCGGAACATTGGAACAATGTCACAATGGAAATGGAAAAAATGGCACTGAATATGGAGACTGGTAGGGTGAAGGTGAGGATAAAGAGAACTCTATCATAGCTCTAGAAAAGAGTTTGTTAGGGAAGAAATGAGAGAAGTGTGAAATGGAAATGGTTGCAATCCTCAGTTAAAGAAAAAGGATGACATATCAGAAGCACTGGTGTAGAAAGTTGTATCATCAGTCCACAGGCAATGAAGACAGAGAAAAGTGAAGAATGAAATGAAGTCAATACAGGTTCCAAGTTCTAGTTTGTGACTCTATTTAAATTTGGTATTAATGTTTTTTGTTCTCAGTCTGTAACTGATTTTATTCTTACTCTCAGTTCAGTGAACAAGCCACAGAAGGTAATGGTAATGAAAGCAGATAGCTATTGATCAAGTACATATACTGGTGACTGTTTTAACACTCTTGGCCTCCTTACTCAAAAGACAAGACTTTTCTATTTTGGTATCCTTGCATCAAATCTCATGGAAAATTTTTCATTAAGCTTTGAGTAATCATCATAAGAAGTTGAGTCAGAGATTAATCTGAGAGTCTGGAGCTTACTGAGAGCATGAACACTACCTGAAACAGGACTGAAACACAACCAGAAAGTGATTGGGACCAAATATTTCTCATACACATATTGATATGTATCACTAGTCAGTACCATCATGCCCACACTGGGTGTTGTGGAGGCAATGAGAATTATATAGCAAAAGACAGGCAATTCTGAGCGGAATATTTGGGTTGAGTTTCAGGATGCACTTCTGGAATACTGTGTCCAATTCTGGTCACCCAGTTATAGGAAAGATATTATCAAGCCGGAGAGGTTTCAGAAGAGGTTTACCAGGATGTTGCCCGGTATGGAAGGTTTGAGTTATAAAGAAAGGCTGGATAGGCTGCGACTTTTTTCACCAGAGTGTAGGAGGTTGAGAGGCGACCTGAAAGAAATTGATAAAATAATGAGAGATGTAGACAGAGTTAATGGTAGTTGCCTTTTCCCTAGGATGGGGGTTTTCAAGATTAGGGGTCACATTTTGAATGGGAGAAGGGAGAGATTTAAAAAAAAAGACATGAGGCAAGTGTTTTACACAGAGGGTGAAGTGGTGGATGTGGGTACAATTACAACATTTAAAAAACGTTTGGACAAGTACATAAATAAGAAAGGTTTGGTGGGATATGGGCCAGGAGGAGGCAGCTGGAACTAGTTTAGTTTGGGGTTATGTTTGGTATGGACTGGTTTGACCAAAGGGTCTGTTTCCGTGCTGTATTTGTATGACTCTATGTCCATGGTTTCATTCATAGAAACATTTTGATAATTCACACAAAAGGAACAAACACTGGCAGGAGCCTGGGGTGACAGTATTGGTAAGTTATTCAACCATGGGGAGAATCATAGTTCAGCCAGATCCTGTCTTCACCCAACATTCTCAAAACACAAATTATTCCAGGACAGGAACTGGCGACCAGGAACCTTGGTTGCTTTCACAATACCATAAAATAATTCAGTAAGGTCAGTTACCATTTGTTTTCCCAACCTGCTATCAGTTAAGCACAAAACTGAATACTGCGTATGAGAGATAAGTCTGTCAAGAAAAAAACGCAGGTCTCAAACAGCATTGTAACGCACACACGTGGCACCAGGTGTCAGTGCAGCATTGCTCTCAATTCAATTCTTCCTATTTACTACAGATAACAGGTAAAGTTCAGGTATAAAGCAAAGATTATTTTTGGTGAAATACCCAAAGATGAGCTTCTAGCTCTATTACCAGTTACTACCTAGAAACAGTTAAGTCAGCTGTGATAACCCACGTTGCCCTTTTTCAAAATAATATTGGACGAACAGCGTATTGAGCACGCACATGTATTGAGCACGCACATGTATTGAGCACGCACATGTATTG